GAGGGGGCAAAGGCCAAGGGTTACAATGGGAGATACAGCGCAGGCATCCTGACATGCACACACCTCATTCACACTCATACTTTTCCTTCGTTATTCAATCAGTACCACAGCAGAGCTAAAATTCAAGTCCATGCACATCAAAGCATCAGACAAAAGCTTTAATTAAAACTTCTAGCAAAGCTTTTATGTATGAGAACTTTTAAGTTTAAAAAAGCAGCGCTGTTTCATGTTGAGTCTACATGCTGCTCTCAGCAACATTAAAACAATGACAGTTGCACTGCTCGCACTGTTTATAAAACTCTCTGTGAAACGCATTTGACTTGACGTTTCACTGGATGATGTAGATCATTGTTAAACAGGTTATTTGCCTGACAGGAAACTAAAGTGGTATGTAAACCTTACCTGGGACTTTGCACTGCGACCGGCCACCAGCCTATTTTCCTAACCACTAGACCATACGAGCCCCTCATGTGTTATGCCAATCTGAGGCCACAAGTCAGGACAAGCAGAGGTCACTAAAATCCATATGTAGGGCGCACAATCTCAGAGGTTGGAAGATTTGCTTTTTTCATTTCACTTCTGGAGTCTGCAAATGTTTACTTTGATGCCAAAGAATCTCGGTGGTACTTTGGAGCCAAACACAATAACACTGCAAATGCTGAATATATTCACTAAGTGAGCAATCAGTTGCAAAATTACACTTATCCCCCCCCATGACGATATACATAGAGAAATAAATCAGAGAGCAGGAGAGGGAGCAAGGGGGCAAGGGGGAGAAGTGGTATCACCTGATCTGTCTTATCTTAAATAGCGGCAGGATGTGTCACCTCAACTCTTCAGAAAAAGAGATAGAACCCTCCTGGCACATTTTTATATGAAAGATTTCTGTGAAATGATTGCTAATCTATGCAAAAAAGCAATCAGTGACTCATTCATAATGCATGAGCAACGAGATACCAATTTTGCAACGCTTTCGGATTATTAGATGTTATCGTGAATGCAGCAGATGAAATATGAACACTCCTACCTGTCCCGCTGTAATTACATGACTGCAGTGGTCGAGAGATATACTGAGAGAGGGAAAAAAATGTGAAGAAATAAACATACAGAGAGACAGACAGACAAGCAGATAGAACATCCATTACTATCTGACTGCAGATAGCTCTAGATGGGAATATTTGTTTCTAACAGCTTTATGTATCCATTTGTGCCATGATTTATCAACCTAAAAGCTGTGGTTTTAAGTACATCTGGCTGACATTTTAATGGTCCATCAATCACATGGTGTCATTTGATAACATTTGGAGATCATCCTCCTCCCCGAGCCTCTGATGAAAAAAAAAAAATTGAATCCAATAAATTGGCTGCAATCCCAGGGAAATGATGAGAACCTATTTCTAATTCAAAGCAAGTTCAAAGTATGAATGTTAGATAAGCTGCTTCTCATATTAATGCAAATCAAATTTCATTTAGGATATTTTTGTTCTATATAGACCTAATGTACTGAATATATTTTTGAGCCAGTTTCTAAACTGCAGTTTAAAGCCTGACAAAAAGAATTACCATTCCTGTTTGGTTTACTGGCTTCGGATTATTCATGCAATATATTATTAAAGTATAATGTGATTCTTTTACCATAAATGTCATAAATGCACACACATCACAAACAAAAGACTGATTTAACATATCTCCTCTTGGATACCAAAAAAAATAATAATAGAAAAACACTGATAAACCTCTGATTTATCCCAAAAATACTGGACACAACTTTTTTCTCCCAAGATTGGTTCATCTTGACAAAAACAATCCAAACAGGCAGAGCTACAGTGATGAACTCTGACCCGCCCAGTCTGATCAGGGTGTTTACAACACCACCTCACATTTAACTAGTCCCATATGAGATTGAGACTAGAGATAGAGACTTGCAGAATGTAGCAGCCCCCCCCTCCCCTTTTCTGATTAAATGTTTTAAAAAAAATAAAACACACAGAAGCTTAACTTTTTAAACGTCACTGTTAACGTGTCTGGGTTGCACCTGGAAGCCTTGTGAAAAGCGTTGACAGATTTCATACTTTTACATTCTGGGCAACTTCGACACAAGGGATTTGCTCTTAAAACTGAGCACAGCAAGGATGAAGGGTGGTATAAAAATCAATGAGGCTCTTCAAAGGCAACAAGAAAAAACAGCACCTTAGCCTGCAATTAAACAAGAGCGCTCGTGGGCACCGAGGGGATGACAGAGTATGTTGCAGGTCCCCTCAACTTCACAGGATCAATTACATGATCAATACAATGACATGATACAATTCCATGGAAAACGGGTTGTGGATGGGAGTCGGTCTGTGTCATGTGTTTCAGATGTTTACACTAACACAGCTCAAGCAGGGCTACACGCTGTGGGCCCATTTTATAAACATGAAAGAATCCCAGTTCTAGACCAAACAGATCCTCCAGGTGGAAACCTCATTTGAAATATTTTGTCTGAGGGTAGGAGTTAAGAAGGGGGTCGTGAGCACCACAAAGGGGATGCAAAATAAATCTGAGGGGTCAGAGATGATTAGCAGGACGGGAGAGAAGAAAAAAAAAACCTTCCCACACAAAATCACTTATTTTTTGAGTCCTTCCTCTAATATTTGTTGAGTTTTGTTTTTTTGTTTTTTTTGCCTCACAAGCATCATGGTTCTAATGTCAGCCTGTCAGTCAGCTTGTCCACCCTGAAACTGAAACATTTCTCAGCACAGACATTCATGGTTTCCAGAGGCTGTAACCTGCAAGTTCTCCTGTAGCACCACCATGAGGTTGACATTTATGGTTTTGAATCAAATGTTTCAAGAACGGTTTTTGAAATTTTAATTGACACTTTTTGTTTAGTGCTAATAACAAATGTCAGCATGATAACACGCTAAGCTACGATGGTGAACATGGTAAACACTATACCTGGTAAATGTCAATGTTAGCATTGTCAAGCATTGTCAATGTGAGTCACCTACTGGATGAAGTTATTATTCCAATATAACAAAGAAAAAAGAAAATATTTCTATTTCTTTACAACCAGTAGACATAAGCAACCAGTGACTAGCAGACACTGTTACTTCAGCTGAAAAGCAGCTACTGTGGCCACAAACCGCAACTACGGTATAATGGTAAATGCTAAAATGTGACATAGCACAAGTTAAGAAAAGTCAGCATACTGACTCAGTGATGTCAGCAATATTTCTCGAAAATTTGCTAACATTAATAGTCACTACAAGCCCCTGAGCAAGTATGGCTGTAGCAAGTCCCTTAGTGTAGCAGTGATATATTTTATTGCTCATGGATCTGTCGTTTGCTTGCTTTGAAAAAAAATAAAAAATAAATAAAAGCTCCTTTCACTGAGTAAACGCAATTTTAAGAGCTGGCACTAACAGAACAATACGACATTTCTCCCTAAAACTAAATCCTCTGAGTTCTTTGACAGCACCCTTGTACCCCGCTGGCTTAGTCGGACCCCTGCTACTAACACCAGCCGCCACCCCCCACTTATCGAAAGGGCAAACACCCCCAGGAGGATCATACAGCCCATCATGACAGAGAGGAGCTCATGATGTTGATGTTGCCTCTGTCAGTGTGTCTGTGTGAATGCTGGGAGAGGACGGTCGCAGTGATCTTCCCCGCTGCGGCCAATTCCACATCCTCCTTTGACACAGATATCATGACATAAAACACAATCAACGCACAAGTAATTTTCCATAATAACAACCAACGACATACTGTGATCCAGAGATCCTATTTATGTAAATGAAAATGCTCACTGTAGGAAGTCATACACACACTGACTCCCTGTTAGTAAAACCAGTGGCCATGAGCAACATGATATCTTGTCAGTCAAGTCTAATTCTGTATTCAAACTTAATGGTTCCTGACAAGCATTTCAAAAGTCGACTGACGGACCAGAGGGACTGTGCCACAGTGAGCATGACCACTCAGCAAATTCACATTCAACATTTCCTTCCTCCTGCTTGGACAAAATGAATTATACATCCTTGATTCTCCCACATTGATCCATGCAGACGAACTGTCTAAATGTTAAATGTTAAATGATTTGTTCATCTCCCTCTTCACTCTTGGGACAGCACACTGTTTTCACTGTATCCCTCTAATTCTGACATTCTCCCTCTATCCTTGACCCCCTTTCCTCACTCCCTCTGTTATCTGAAATAATCTCAGGGCCTCCTTAGATTCTATTCATCAGAGCAGAAAGAAGCAGGCGCTGACACTGATAAAAAAAAAAAAAAAAATACCATCTGTGCCTTCCAGGGGTAAAAGGAGTGAGAGAGAATAAGACAGAAAAAGAAAGAGAGGGGCTTCAAATGAAACGGGCTCTGTTGTCTCCCTCTTGTCCCCCCTTGTCAATGCCATTTCAATGGAAAAGCGCAGTGGTAATTAAATTCCAGCAGGGGTTAGGGGCAACTGTGCAGCGCGCTGACGGGGGGCTGCCCTGACATAAAGATGACACAATTCAAGAGGACAGAGGGGGCGCCAGGCGGAAAAGGAGGGAGGGTGACGAATGTCATTTATTCACGTACACTGCCAGATTTGTACTACTCAATCTTCATGACATTTAAAAAATAGAAAATGAAATGGATATTCAAACTCAACTGAATCCCACAATGACCTTTTCCCCAAATCAGGGATATTCTAAACAGATCCGTCTTCTGTATCTGCGGCATTTGCAGAATATTTTGTAATGCTTAGGAGGATGAGTGATTAGGTGGAGAAGAATTTGGGAAAGCTGGAGTGTGTGTGTGTGTGTGTGTGTGTGTGTGCGCATATGTGTCAGCACAAATGTGTGACTCACAGAAGGACGCTGGTTGTTGTTGATTCACATTATAGTGGCGCTAATCCAGAGGCTCCAGAGAGGCCACACACTCCTGCTGTCCCCCTCTCCCCATCCTCTACTAGCACAACAAATCAGCCACTTACTCTTTAACTGCAGAAATGAACAACGCATAAAACTGAAATAAGAAGAATATTTTACCAAATTATTACAGATCTTTAAGATAGAAAGAGACTTGAATTTAGTTTTAGCATACATTTACATTTCAACATATCTACATGTTAAATGTGGAGCAAAATTGAAGAGCAATGCAGCATTACACAGTCATGTGCTTAAGTTATGTTTGAAGCAGTCTTGATAATGATAATTCATTAGTGTGAAGTCTGACATTACATGTGAATAATTCTCTGAATATATTCATGACATTATTATTTCCTGGCTTTGGCTTATTGAGAGGAATATTCTCACCATCACTGTTCATGAGAAGAGAAATATCAATGCACAGTTACTTTCATAAATCCCTTTGTAGAACTATGAAGACAAAAAAATTGAAAAAATTGAATAGTAGTCATTGTGTTTTGTTAATGCCCCTGATCCCTCCAAAGAAAATGATTTCATCAATCTTTTCCTCCATTGTTATCATTATTTGTGAAATAAATCCTACAAAATGATCACTTTCACAATAGCTGTTATCCCACAACTCTTGCATGATACAATGTCAGGAGTGGGTCATTAATGGCTGACGATCATCTAATCCATTAAGCTAGGTTGGCCCTGCTACTTTAAACATGGATGAAAATATAAATGAATCCTGCCAGTGCTTCACTTACATATTCATCAATTTTAACAGAGCCTCTTAACATAACTCCTGTTTAATAAAAAAGCACTTGTGCAACTCTGCTGCCATCTAGCGGACAAAGAGCTCAGCACACGGGTTTGCAGCCCAGAGTACATTTTACAAGCAAGCACTCAACACAGTTGACTTGTTATTTTCTACACTTTAGATTACATTGTTTTTCAGTCAGGAAAATCTAAGATTAATGACTCCAGGCAGCTCTGTCCAGCTCTGCTCAGTGTCAAACGTCCCTTGGCCCACCTCATTAGTTCAGCACACCTCAGGTCCTGACAAGGTACCGACAGACAGTCAAACAGCCCGTCTGTCCTCTTGTTCAGCCACGGGTGAGTGTCAGTATCGGTTTAAAATCTCCAGAACTTCCTCCTTAACAGACAAAGGAGCGTGCTGCTGGACACCTGGTCCCCCAATACTTGTTTCCCAGCAGTCAAAGCCGCAGTCTCTCAAGTCCTGCACTGTACTCTGGACAACGACGGAGTCCGTTTCTACAAAATAAACAAGTCATGTCAAGGTGGGCTGTAGTTACACATAAAAAGGAAAAAAACTGTATTACAGTGGGATAGATGCTGTGGAACCTTTAACACTGAAATCAAGTCGTTATGACTGAATGTGCTACAGTGGTGCTTTCAAGGACAGAGCATAAGGTTGTCAGGACTCAACTTGTAAAGTCTCTGTCACTAACTGCAAAAGGACAACACTGGAGCCACTCAGACAAAAAAAAAAACTCTCTTTACCACTTTACTTTAACGTACTGTATAAACTCTCTAAACGTAGAATAAAAATTGTTCTGCAGCTCTTCAGCTCAGCAGGAAGGATACAGCTGCACAGCAACACTCATGCTAACCACAGTTGAAAATTTAATGCTACAGCAGCTTTTAACGTAATGATAAAATAACTTAACTTAGCGCTTGCTTAAAAAACAAGTCTTATCACATAGACTCTCTGAGAACATTACAGAAGACAGATGCTAGACGATCTATTTGAAAATAGCTGCAATTCACAGAAAGGGAAATGCTTGCTGAGAAAACAAATAAAGAGCATTTTGAAATCTATTTGAAGGATTTTAAACTTATTAAAATTCTGTATGCTACAGGCTGCAGGCATAAACAAAGACTCAGCTCACAGGTTCTTTGCTTGTTTGCTTTGTCAAAGGGAGGATGATACAAAGTTTCCTTATAACCAATTGCATTGTAGTACCCACACACCAAAAGACCCTTCTTTTGCAGCCTTCTCATCATTTCCTGCCACTCAAACCGTTGTTTCAGAAAGGAAGAGTGAGGGAGCGTTTGAGGAAAAACTGAACATTTGTTGTCAGCAGGAGTCTGACAGTTTGGCTCATCAAACTTCCTTCATCAAATTGAGTTCATCGTAGGACAAATCCATCACAGGAATAGCGGTATAGCCTTGACTAAATGAGGGATTCATTTCAGTTATATGCATCACTTAAAGTGGAGAAGTAAATACAACAGCAGATACAGTATGTTCCTTTGGGGGAAAAAAAATAGACAAACCTTTGACTTTACCCTTTTTGCAAACATTTAAAATGCACACTGTTATGACATTCACAGCAGAGCGATTGGCCAACAGTACCTGGTCTCAGAAGTGTAATGCCACAGCCTCCACCCCCTGCACCGGTTAGCTTGCTGTGGAGCCCTCTGGTCAGCGTGACCCGACACAGTGTGTCCAGGGCAGGGTGTCCCACCCCCATCACATTCAGATGGTGCTGGTTAATGTCAATGAGCTCCTATAAATCATATGACATTCACATACCTGTTGTTAATACCTGTTGCTCACTGGAGGGATTTGCTGCATGAAAATGAATATGGGCTCTCTGGACTATAAGCATACAATTACATTTAACCATCTCGACAAATTATCTACAATGTGTAGATGTATGTAACGTACAGTGTGCACAATGTGCTTTACACAACCTATAAATATAAGGTACCTCTAGAATATTGTAGTGCTCTCCTGTGATGGGCTCAGAGGTCATCTCTGAAAGGACTTTCTCACAAGTGCAGGAAATGGCATCAACTGAGTCAAGCACAGGGGTCATGATTGAGGGAAACTGCAGGGGGGAGGGGGGACAAAGAAAAAAGAAATCATCATCTCCAACGTAGCAGCAGGTCTCCATAAAGCCTTTACTGCAGGTTATATGCAAAACAAGTGCCTGTGCCTGTTTGTTTAAAACATCCGAACAGGTTTATGATGGATAAGCTGTATACAAATACAGACTGTAAAATGTCAGGTTTGACTTTGGCTGTGTTCCAGCCTGATCACAACACTGCCACAACACCATCCAGGCCTATCTATGTCTGAGGCAGGAATCTGCACACCTGCTGGTGTCACCAAGGCAACAGCACACAGGGGTGCTGGCTAAGAGTTTAATTTCAATATTTTATGAAGGCACTCGACGCCAGACTCTGGAGTATCTGCCATGCAAAAGCACCGCCTATTATATTAATTACAGTGTCGACAAGTAACACACGGGGGAGGAAGAAACCATTTAGTACCTTGTTAATTTTGTCCTTCACCCTGGCAACAAGTACCTTGGTGCTACGTGGTACTTTGGTGTTAGTGAGGAGGATTCTTAATAATGGCACCCTGGAAGTAAAGTGGAGAGATCACAGAGTTCATACAGACATATTATTCAGATGCACACATTTTATTCAGATTATATTTGTTTTCTGTGAGCAAAAAAAAAACTGATCTTGCTTTAAATTAAATAAAATTAAAAACTGTTAATCAGTGTCAGTACCTGCTCAGTGGTATTATCTTCCCAGCCAAGAATCTCAGCATGCCCCCTACATAGAGGGAAATCAAAATCATTAAACAGATAATCATCGGATGATAATGAAAAGTGGTGGTACAATACTCTGATGATTCCACTAAAGAGTGCCGAGAGTCCACAGAGACGAGGGGAAGTATAACACCATATGTACTGCCAGATAATTTCAGACCTCACCCCATGTTCCTACAGCGTTGTCTACTCCTGAAGGATTCCCGTGGATGATCATTTCCCCTTGAAAAGCCCAGCTGTTGATCAGCTCCAGGTCCTCCTGACACCACCTGCAATCATTTTAAAATGAAAAGAAGAGCTTTAAAGCCCAAGAGACTCTCTGACCTGACCTCTACCTTCCACTTTATCGCCTAACCAAACACTAGTATATGGGCCAGACTAGGCATCTCACAAAATGCGAGTGTTGACAATAATTTCTGCAAAGTCCTCTGTTACTACCAAGAACCAAAGAGGAATAATGACAAGAATTTATCTAAAATGTGACATTTTGGGAGGTAAGAATGGAGTTACATACAAGGAGTTTACAAAATTGAGCTGTGAAGTGAAATATCTTAATAAAAATGTAATATTTGATGCAAAGCTTTTATGGATAAATGAGGAATTAATAAAAAACAAAATAGTTGACACATTCATTAAAGATGTAACATTATACACTTCTAAAAGATAATATTTATTGACCCCCAACCATGTATCAATGTTTGTACTAATTATAACATGAATCAAAGTCTTTAATTCTCCATTATCTTTATTCGGGAAAGGCTGTTTACATAATCTGGGAAATGTGAGAAGTAAAATCACCTCTGTGATTAAATATACTGGTTAGTTTTTGTGTCTTTTTAGAGCATATTGATCAGGCCTAATGATTCTGTGTGTGCAGAATTGTCTGTGTAGACTGTATACAGACTGCTACACAGCTGGAGACCTTTTTTTTGTTGTTGTTTTCCTTTTTTACCTGCCGGTGTGATCCCACTCTTTGAGAGGAGTGGGGATGGCTCCTCTTGCACTGAGCAGAGCTGCAGCTAAACACACTGAGTAGGCAGCACTCGAACCCAGTCCCGCTCCAGTCGGAAGCTCTGACCACACAGACAAGGTCAGGCTGGGCAGCTCACTGAGAATAAAATATAAAAATAAAAAACAAAACATAAAAACTGGGCTTCTCTTTGTACATAATCACTTAAATACTGCATATATAACTTATTACAGTTATTAAGAGATGAGTGCAGATGATTGACTGATGATGGTGACAATATAAAAGTATTTACTGCATGGGCCTTTGGAATTTGTAACTGTGTCCACAACCTATGAGCATTGCTATTTAGAATTAAAATAGTAATTACTTATTCACAAACACTTTTGGTGCATTTTTTTTTTTTTTTACACAAAAAAAAAAATGAAGTAAATAATGTATCATATCCTCTTCTTTACATTCACATTAACTGGTACAATAACAGTTTTTCATAACTGTGTCAGGCATAACAATCCATACACTTCTGTATGCAACAGAAACTTGCTTGACACTGACTGTCCATGTCTGTCAGGGAAGCTGCTTTTGGGCAGACAGGAGAATACTCTAAACTAATTGTCCGGCTCTTCTCTCAAGGGGAAAAACACATCCAGACTTGTTAAAGGCTGCAGTGTGGCCCAGTGCCAGACTCTCATTAGTGACCATACTGTCAGAACCCATCACCTCTCTCAGACACGCCAGCACCGTGTCAGCGCCGATTAAACCTCTCGACAACCTGCAGCTCTAATGTTCCTGAGCATCTTCCCTGTTCACAGCTGCTCGTGCTGCTAACACTAACATCCGGCCTTTCTGTCTGTTTCTCTTTAATATCTTCATTTGCAAGTGGAGGGATTTTTTTTCTTGCTTTTTTCCTGAACACGTCTACATGAAAAAGGAGCACATTATTGCAAAGCAAGCTTTATCAAAAGAGCTGCAAAGAGTAACTACATAGAAATACACTGAGAATGTGACTGCATGAGAGCAATGTAATAACCCATCAGATGGTGACAAGTACTTGTGACCTTTGTTGTTTTACGTAAATGTTGTTTACATTTACAGCTTTTAGTTGACACAAGAGCTGAACATTACAGCATCATTTCAGTTCAAAGTCACAGTGCAAAGTGTAAAATGTCTACGGTACACTACAGCTCTCATCACTTGACATAATGCTACACATGAGCAATAGCATGGCATCATTTAATTTGAACTGGCTGTAGCTCATATGCAAAGTTACAGTCTCTCAAATTCAGGTCTAGCAGACAGAGTTTCCACAAGGTGGAGGTGTTTTGTCAATATACACATTTCCTGCACCACCTACACTACAGCCACATAAAGTTCTCAATGCTGCAGTTTTAACAGTTGCACCAACTTCAGCCAATGAGTGTTACAGCTTCATTTTTTTTGTCTCTCTTACACCTGTTTTTTATTTGATGTGTATCTTTTAGATTTTACATCGTAAACTTGTTTTAGTTCAAATAAAATGATAGAAATGAAACATCATTATGTTACACTATCCTCCAGAGGACATAAAACAAGCAGAGGACTGATGATGATATGACCATAATCCACACTAGCCAATATTCAGTAAAAAAAAAAAAATCAAATCAAATTCTCTTTCACATACTCACAATCATTGGCTACTAAAAAAGAGATGCAGCTGCAACACTTTTTGCCTGAAGGTGATGGAAATTTTCATTCTGTTGCTTCCCATTGCCTGTTGATGGAGCACACTCAAACTGCTAGCACCACATCTCTGCAACTGGATGATATTTTCTGGGCCTCGTCTCTGGTTTTCCTTTTATATCTTTTTTTGGAGTCATCCTAGCTAACAAGCTGTAATACTAAAATGAACAAATGCTTAGACGAACAGTAGTACTGTCTCACCCTGATCCAAACAGTGAGAGGTAGAGGTAGAGGAAGGATAAGGTTGCCATGTTGCAAGTATCCAGGTTTCCATTTGTTACACCGACAAATTCACGCAGTCTCTGCACAAGTTCAGGATCCAGACGTTTCACCTCCTCCCCCTTAGCTGCTATTAGATACAATAACAAGACAACAATCAACAACACACACTTTGATATGTAGATGTATGAACAACATGGACATTTTTCAGTATGTGCTGGACTATGTGACGCATGACATAACATTAAAAAAAATCCAGTGTGTGTAGGCGGTTACAGCCTCCAGCACTGCATCATCCCTCACCACATGAATAAGGAAGAAGCTGCTTCAGCTCTGTCAGGTTCCAGCAGAGAAATGTGTCGATATTTGGGAGGTTGATGCACACTTTACCAGTAGTAGTGGTCTCCAATCGTAAATATGTTCTCAGGTTCAAACTGACAGCAAGAGCCACCTGTGCAGGAGCAGCAACAGAGGTCAAAGGGTTATGAAAGAATCACGATGATCAAGCTTTAACCTAGCCTAGTATTAGCTGAAGTTTATTTTTCAATACTACCAGATTGCTCCAAGGTATACCATGGCTTTGTGATTACTGAATGTGTTTTCCATACAGTGCAATAGCAAAATTAACATGAACCACTGGCAGTAGTGGTAAGAAAAGACATCCTCTGGGAGAGAGGCAAATAACAGTAAAAAACACACAAACACACAAACACTCAACACAAAGGTTTTTGTGTGGTATCTGGACAACTGTCTTGCAAACCCGTGGTTCTACAATTAGTATAACATCGTTGTTTCTGTTGAAATACTTACAACAGAAAAAATCTCATAAACTCCTTATCTTGATTGTTAGCAGTACACTGTTCCTTACAGGTTACCTTTCCATGCACAACTGCATGCTCTCCGTGGAGGATCGCCTTCCCAGGAGCAGACACGAAGAAGTCATTGGCTGGCATTTCTGTGACAAAGTGCACAACGTGTCTGGAGCTGGTTCAACTTATCACTGACAGTGTTGTTATTACAGGCTAGCTCGGCCACCTCTAGCTAATGTTAATCCTCTACAGCAGCAACAAGCAGTCGACAGCTCTGCCCCACAGCTCTGCGCTTTTCAGGAACGCTCGACGAATATAAGGGGCTTAGCAAAGCACTTTTACGGTCTAAAACTAGGGGGATGCTCTAAGATCACACTCCTTTCAGCGCGGCGTGATAAAACCATGTTAAAAACACAGCTGACACACTAAGAGCAAGAGAGGTTCCGTTTCCAACATCCAATCAGCGCCGCAGCTACTTGAACATATATTCTTCTGTCCAATCAGCGTCCGGTGCTGTTCTACCACCCGGTGAGTTGACCAATCGTGCGATTAAAAAGAAACGCCCATAAACTACGGACACCACGGAGGGACATAAAAGTATTACATATCATCCGTCTCCCTTAGCTGTTAGCCATTAGCTTGAACATGGCTTCGTTTATTATCAAATCTGCCCACTTCCGCTGTGTTGCAAGGACAGGCAGGCTCATAAGCGAGCACCGGACAAGGAAAACGTTGTGTTCAGACAGAAGGTAGTCGTGCATCCCTGCTCTTTGTCAAAGTACTTGTGCAAAGTGTTGAGCCCTGATAATGTCATTCATGTAACTGTCAATGTAATATAGCAGAGTGATAGCTAGTTAGCTGCTACACAGAGATACACATGTATACATGTAGATAAAATAAAGGTAATTACACAATTAGCACAAATGGCATTATTCTTTATACTGAGCAGGAATGTTTGAAACTGACCAGCTGTCTTTTTCCCCTACAGTTATGCCACCGAGGTAGACAACAGGGTTCCCAAAATATACACCAAAACTGGAGACAAAGGTAGCTACAAAGTTTTACTGGGAAAACAATACGTTACAGTAAATAGTTCTTTAAAAAGTTGACTTCTGATTCTTACTGCACCCCTTAAAGGTTTCTCAAGCACATTTACAGGAGAAAGGAGGCCAAAGGAAGATCATATTTTTGAAGCCCTAGGAAATACAGATGAGCTTTCATCAGCTATAGGGTAAAATTTCAACTATTCAAATGTCACAGGTCATTTTAAAGCTTCTGCCTCACCCAAGTTGATCATGTTGAACTGTACATTACAGCTTGGCCAGAGAATTTTGCCTCGACAAAGGTCACACGTTCACAGATCAGTTGGACAAGGTTTGATTTTCATGTTGCATTTATTAACTTCTTGAGTGCTGCAAGTTTTACATTCAGCAGAAGTCAGATTTCTGACTGTATTTTTGCAGATACAGTGCATTTTACAAGACGTGGGCTCCAATATCGCCACCCCTCGATCATCTGCAAGAGAGAGTCACATAAGTATGGACCTGTTGCAAATCTCAAGTAGTGAAATTGTCATTTTACTATGTCTTGTGTGCTTCATGTTATTTCTGTTCTGTTCTCGCTAGAGAAAACCAAATTTACTGCTCAGCCAATCACAGACCTGGAAACCTGGATTGATAACTTTACAAAAGAGCTCAGTCCACTGACCAACTTCATTTTACCTGTAAGCCCATTTGTGCATCTGTATACATGGAATTCTTGTGTGTGTCCAGGTTTTCCTGTTGCTCTAACATTTACTTTGTTTCATAGTCTGGAGGGAAGAGCAGTGCAGCTTTGCACTTAGCTCGGACAGTCTGTCGGCGAGCAGAGCGCAGGTCAGTTATAGCATGTTCCTAGGTTGTAACATTATCTTGATTGACTTAAATTTATCCATTTGTCTTGCTTCACTGGTGTAGTTGGTTCTGACAGCTCTTTGCTTTTGTCATAGTGTTGCTCCAGTTGTGCGGTCAGGGGAAGCCGATCCAGATGTTGCAAAGTTTCTGAACAGGTCAGTCTATTGCTTTAAAATTAAGTATGAGAACATGGTTCCTCCTCCACATGTGATTAATGTCCCTACATTTTCACCCAGATTGAGCGACTACCTGTTCACTGTGGCCAGATATGCAGCCATGAAAGAAGGCAACGAGGAGAAAATCTACAAAAGACCTGAATGACCAGTTTGTCGCATGAGGATTACGACAAAGTTTGATTTTGTTATGGTTGATGCAGATACTTCAGTTATATTGTAAATATATAAATAAATCATAATGGGGTCCAAAATTGTTTTCTAGTTTTGATGCAACTTTTTTCTTAGCTTAATGTGAGAATGTAAGTCATAATAAAGTAGTGGCTAAATCTTAAACCATTCAGTCAGTACATATGTGCATCCAAAATACTGGTATCCAGTCATTTCATTTTGCACAGATAATGTTTCAATGTACATTCAGTTGAGATGATGTACACAAACATTAAATAATTGAGATTAACCCTCGATGTTGTTGGTCCCACATAGTCATACCACACTAAGATTAAACTACTATGGATATCCTCTGTTAGACATGGCCGTAGATTCTGCTCTCATCTCTTTTTCAATGCACTAGCAATACATTTGCATGTAAAGACTGTTCGCAACCTAGGGGGCACTTGCTTGTCTTCCAACATGGCTCTGCTACCACCCTCCCACACAGTCACAGGATCTGGCACCAGCCCTGGCTCTTCTGGGACAGGGTACTGGCCCATGTCATTAGAGACAGATTGCGGTCCTCATAGGGCGGATAACGCAGATAGGTTACACAGTCGAACCGTGTGCCTCTTAGCAGGCAGGATTTCCTGTGAGAGAAGGTATCAAAGCTGTAGCGGCCGTGGTAAGAACCGGTTCCACTGGCACCTATCAAAAGAAAAATGTTGGGAGAGTGGATAGATTGCTGGAAATATTATACCAGCACTATGTTTGACACATTTTATACAGTGACACAACAGACTTACCTACTCCACCGAAAGGCAGAGCCACCATCAAACTCTGCAGGACGCTGTCATTAGAACAAAAGCTTCCACTAGACGTTTCACTCATTAGTCTTGAAATAACCTGCAGCGCCAGGAAGGCAAACGTGGTCAGAATGCTCGTTGGCTACCCAAGGCGGGGTAATTCATACAGAGTGTTTTAATGTTAATTGTTGCCATGTACCTTACTGTTGCTGGAATATGCATACACACAGAGGGGTTTCTCTTGCTTATTAATGAAGGCTATTGCCTCATCCACATTGTTCACAGTCAGAACCGGGAGAATTGGGCCAAAAACGTCCTGTTGCATAATGGGGTCTGATTCTGCCACCTCTGTCAAAATTGTTGGAGCTTCAGATAGAACAAAATAAAAAGTGAGTAGTGAGTTTACAACACGATCAGATAGATTGCATGTATTTGCTGGCTTTATTTTGAGGGATCCAACATAGAGGATTCTTACCAATATATTTCTCTGCTTCTATCACCTGCCCACCCACAGCCACCTTGCCAGATCTCCACAGCATGTCTCTCGCGCGGTTAAAGATCTCCAGATTGACCATGCGGCCGAGGCTGCGGGATTCTCGGGGATCAGAACCGTAGAATTGCATCAAGCAGCATTTCAGTGCCTGCACGAGCCGTTCTTTGACATCCGCGTGGCACAGGATGTAATCTGGAGCCACCAAGCTCTGTCCGGCATTGTGGAAACGAGCCCAAGCAACGCGCTGTGCGGTGGTGGCAATGTCACAGTGTTGGTCCACGTAACATGGATTCTTGCCTCCCAAAATCAGGGTGACAGGTGTAAGAGTGCGAGCTGCAGCCTGAGCAATTCTGCTTCCCTCCCCTCTGTTTCCTAGGGATCGACAGCCATCCTTTTATACATTAGGAATAATTCAATAAATGTGCATTACGTTTGTTTTGAGTGATTTCATCTTTACCTGTGAAGAGGACATGATCAAATTTGAGCTCCACAACTTCAGGCAAGTCATTTATGCCTGCAAGAATCACATGGAAGCATTCCTTGAGGAAAATAAGAATTTTAGATCAGATCATTACATTTTAACTGGAGTATTGTATTACATCTGCAAAATCATAGTTTGAGAGTCAGCTCTTCAGTCAGTCTTGGATAACAAAAGGTGGAGGTTTCCATACTTCCAGATTTGACAGTATCCAACCTCTTTACAATCTCATGTCACATAAATCTGCTTATTTGGGTCAGAACAAATGACCCCTTTGAAAAGCACAAATGAGTCATTAAGCTACCTTGCTGGAATCTACAATTAGAGCGGAGGGTTTTGCTCTGATTGCAGCCACCAAAACTGACAGTTCTCCATTTATCTGACCTCATTATTTGTGATGAGAGGAATCAAAATACAGAACCACCTAATCCATTAGATTATCTACTTAAGACTCAACATTAGATCAAAGAAACAAACGTTACTCTTTGTGATACATCAAGGGTCAAGTGTCACTTGCAAAATTGCACCCACTGGAGCAAGCCATCCTCCCTGCTCACTTGAAACTACTCACATTGTCCAAGTAAAAAGGAATGAGACGATGGAGGAGCTCTGATGCGTGAGCGGTGCACTCAGACGGACTGATGATGGCACAGTTTCCTGCACAAATGAACCAAATCATCAGCGTCTGTCAGATCCTCTCGAAGCTCGTGTGAAGAAAAACTGAATGATTGAATGAATGCGTTTGCTTCACCTGCTGCGATGGCCCCTACCAGCGGCACCAGACACATTTGAACAGGACTACACCAGGTCCCCATGATAAACACCACCCCCAGCGGCTCACTGAGCACCAGACACTCGTCCAATGTGGTGGACTAAACCAATCAGACAAAATGAGGTTAGAAGTGAAACATGACACTTAGGAATTTATCAAGTTGAAAGAGTTGATCAGTGCACAGGTTGACGAACAGAGAGGAGTAAAAGGCATCAGCCCACCTTGTTTCATATAATAAGGGCAAGGCAACTTAAGTTTTAATCTGCTTTGGCGAGCTCAGCACAATACATTTCTTTGTACCAGCAAGATGGAATGTGCTTTCGAAAAAGGTTGTGCAAATCATGAATAATCCCAGTATTATTGTGAAGATGTTTTTGGTAAAAATGGGCTTTTCAAAGTGCATAGTCTCACCAGGTTTCTTTCTACATGCTGCGGCTGCATCCACTTCTTCAGATTGTTGATGGCATGAAGTGCTTCATTCTTCACAAGCATCAGTTCTGACACAACTGTCTCAAACCTTGGCTGATTAAAAAAAAGACAAAAGTGCCAAGGAATTACTGTTTGGATCTATTATCTCAATACTCAGGTATAAAAATGAGATTATTACACAGCACATAGACATTTCCTCTCCTCCTTACTTTGTGAAGGTCCCTTCCAAGAGCATCCACAAAGTCACACTCATGCTCCTCCAGCATCCGCACCATAGCCTCCAGCTGAGCCAGTCTGAAGTTCTCCTTGAGGGTGCGGCCAGCTTGAAAGGCAACTCTGGCCCTCCTCAGTAGATCCACACACTCCAATGGGTACGTCTTCAAACACGGCTCCCCCAGCCTGGTCCTGGAACAGTAGCCAAATCACTCATTTTACTACTCTACAAGGCAATTCAACACATTCTCAGTCCATTTCTTCTCACAATACCTTCTGCATGTTAACCGGCCATTCCTCTGACAAGCATTGCAGGCCCTAACTTTTCCACTCATGCTTGTTCCAGTCAAGATTTCTCCAGTGCTGATCTTTCTGAATGGAGTTACTGTGCAGTTAAGCCTATGCACCAGTGGCAGCGAGGATAGTGAAAACCCCAATAACTCCAGCCAGTCAGGTGATGCACATACACTAACAAGTCTAATCTTTAACCCAGCTCCTGCAGTGCATCATGCAGAGGACCACAACTGAAGAAATTACTTAAAAACGTGGCTGCTTGTGTTGCAAGTTTTAGTTATCTCATTAAATTCAACAAGTCATTTACCTGCGCAGCGCTTTGAACCATCGGGCTGGAGATGGGCTCGGTGGACTGCTGCTCATGGATATTCTGCAGGTTCAAGTTGACACAGCTGAGACAGTTGCAAATATTGTTGTGGGAATCCTCACAACAGCGGCCGGTCACCTCGCAGGAAGAGTCGCACAGTGCAGGGACCGAGCACAATGGAGAAAATGACTCAGACGTGCGCATTTACACCATAATCCGCCCTGCACGTTCTTCAGGAAAAACAGAAACTTTGGTGTTGTGAGACGGTCCCAATCCCACAGCCTCTTGTTAATGTTTCAAACTAATTTCTAGAGCAATAAAATACTTGAGTCCCGTGCGTAGCTCCACAGTGGAGTTGTGAGCGTCCTGCCCAACTCAGCAGGTGTTTGCAATAAACTAATTATTTTTTTCAAATTAAGAGTTGAGGCAGTGTCAGTTTGTTCTGAGAAAAGGAAAAAAAAACACCCATTATGTGTGAATAATTTAAAGAAAATGATTTATAGAATACTGGTGTACATGATTTAACATTACAGGGGGGAAAAAAAGTATCTTACACATGGACAAATCTTACATGAGGAATCTCCTATTTTTTTTTTTTTTTTACAACACACTCCATACTGTAGTGCAGCCAGTTTCAAAGACACTTTTAAAAAGAGATGAAAACTTTCACAGGGAGGGTGGGAGCATTTCTAGGATCATTTTATTTTTTTATTTGTACTAAAAGAGGATATCCAAAGTCAGCATCAGCGGTCCATACTGGTACATTTAAAGTCTAGCCTACTCTTGACATCATTTGAAACAGATGAGTGACCTCATCAGACAACACAGACAAGCTTGTGAGGTATCTTTCATCTCTCTCGCACATGAACACACGCTCAGTGTTGTGTGTGTCTTGTAAAATCCATTCGCAGTGTTTCATTTCTTGCTTGATTGGATTACTGGAGGAGAGCTGAAGCAGGATCCTCCTGACTGATTTGTCAGATTTAGCTTAATGTCATTAGTAGAATGCGGGTAAATTCCATACAACCAGTGTTATAATATATATATATATATATATACACACATATACATACATATATATATATATACATACATATATATAAATGGTTGCATTTTAATTGTAATCATTTTTTGGTTAGTGGCCATGATATCACTTAGAAACATGGCAACAATGACCAGTATGTTCTATAGCTTGTTACTTATTAACAAAAGTATTCATACTCATTCATGACAGAAAACATTTTTTGCATAATAAAGAACTTGGTAAAGATATTTTCTTTTAACCCTTTCTTTGAAAGTTGCAGTGATCTTTCTGGTAAATGACTAAAAAGTCTCTTCCTTAACTCTATGATGTAATTGAACCCTGTGTAAAGTGATATTTAGGCTTTTAAGGTAACATTCACCCTCACGTCCCTTTTCCCTAAAGCCACAAACAGCAGAAACGTGTGCAACATTTCCATCTAAAGGGAACATCAGATCGAGCAGTCACATTTGGTTAATGAACCAGTCCATGACATCATGTTGAGAGGTTTTTACACCTCAAATTCTTTTCAGCATGGCTTAAGAAGTCCACAGAGATCGGAGAGCGTCATAGTAAAACCCTCCTCGGTTGACGTTGTTGTAGTGTTAGTAGTGTTTGGGTTTCTGCATCTTGTTAGTAGTAGCAGAGAACAAGTCCAGGTACAAAGCCCCCTGTTGTATGGCTTGTTTCCAATATACGTGGTTACTGGTTACAGCTGAAATACAGTCAGAGATGTGACAGCGTGGGGGGATGGTAACACATGAGGCACTCAGCATTATTGAAAGGTGTAGTGAGAAATCTTCATTTTTACATTAAGTACAAAAACATTACTGATTGTTGACTTCACACTGTAGGCCAAGAATTCGTGTGACAGGCTCTGTCTGCTCTACTGGGCAGATACAAATAGGGACAAAACATTTCCAGTTCCAGAACATCTTTTCCTAAATCAAACAACAGCATTGTCAGATTTTTTTTTTCACGTCAAGAAATCCTCTGCTGCTTCACCACAACTGAGGCAGATGTTTGGTTTTCAAACATACTGAGGACACACAAACCAGCGGGCAAACATTCCTCTCAGGTGACCGCAGTGTCTTTTGGTGGCAAGAGATGGAATGAGGTCAATGTGATTTTCTCAGAAATGGGACATAATGTAATCAACACAGGATTACTGCTGTGAGCCGTTCCTCCTTCAAGGAGGCTGAACACAAGACATTGATTTGTCTACCATTTATAAAAGATGCATTATGTTCAACAAAACATTTAAGACTCATCCAATATCAGCTAAAAGTTGCTTGGATAATGGAGTCCAAGCATATAAGTATATTAACAATGCATCGCTTGGTTTCACTCGAGTGAGTCAACCACGTGTCTGATGGCTTGCATTGCATCTGTATTGCTTTCCAGTTCGCTTAAAATGGTGTGTGTCAGGTCCGAGAATGATTTTGTTAAGCCTGAGAAACAGATCTAGCCACTGTATATCCGATATATTGAATTTTTGGAGTGGCAGAGGGAGATGCTTAAAATTGGATTGTGCTGCAGAAACAGCATCCCCTTTGATGTGGGGGGGGGGGGTGAGCTGTAGTAGAGCAGAGCTCATCCAGTTTTAAAGAGACAAAAGGAGACTTTGTAGTCCGTCATCATTCCCCTTTTGTTTAGATGATGCCCCTTTGACGTGACAGGCTCTAGTCCAGGTAAGCCGAGCCTCTTGCTTGGTTCAGGCTGTTCAACACAAGTTTCCTGTGCAGATTGTCCTGATGCATATGAGTTAGGAGAGCTCAAAGCCTGTGTTCATACTGATAGCGTAACGCAGCTTGTCACGCAGGATGCTCTTCTTGCTGTAGTTGGGCAGCTTGAGCAGGTTGAAGCAGGTTGATGAAGTGGGAAGTCGACCACCGGGTTCCTTCTTGCGGATAGTGAAAAAGCCCCTCAGAACACTGCCGAGGGTGTCTCCGGTGTCCTAGGCACAGGAAATGCTCTGTTAGTAAAAATGTAACACAGAGATGCCAGCTACAAGACAAACACAACAGCTTGTAAGCAGCGTTAGTTTTCTCCATCTTCATCCTCACCTGATCATCTGAAACTTCCACACAACGGATGGAGAAAGGTGGTTTGAGGTAGGCGAAACCTAGAAGAGGTGGCCTTGAACAGCTGGTAACAAACTGTAAACACACATGAAATAGTGTAAGAGACGATGGTTAAAGCACCTCGTGTTAGAAATGAAATGCTTTTGAGTGTGACAAACAAAGGACAGCTTACTTTAAGGAACATAGCCCTCTCTTCAGCATTGAAGTCACTGGACAGGATATCCCACAGCCAGATGATGACACGATGGCTGCTGTGAAATCCTCCATAGTAGACTGTGTGTTTCCTGAGAAAAAGAGGAAAACATCAGTGATGAGCATCTTAAACTGCCTCTATAAACAGATGAATGAATGAAGGAAACATCCCTATTTGTTTTGAGTAGACAACTGAAGTAATGGAAACATGTTGCTGTACTTGGGGTACATTTACTAACGAAATGATCAGTATAAATGTTGTGGTGAGAGGGTACAGTATGGGACTATACCAAGCAAATTACATCATCCATATTAGAGACACGATGAAAGAAGACAAAGATGAAATGTTACGTACTTGAGGTCATCTAGATCAATCTCAGCATTGTCTCCTGAGACAAGGCGCTGAACCTCAGGTGTGGAAAACATGTGCAGCCACTCTGGGTTAATGATGCTGCGGAAGCCTCGAATGAAAGCTGCAGTTTGCTCCTTAATCTGCGTGTGCATCCGGAAGTGAGCCATGAGGTGGATGTAGCTGATCCTATAGGAGATGGAGAGCTGAAAGTTAGATGCTGATTTGTACTGAGTACACAACAATCAGCAAAAGATCCAACATTTTAAACTTAAAATGGTTCAGTACCCTACTATTTTTTCACATGCATCTGTATTTACATACTTGTTTTCATTGGTGACTGGCATGGTTTTCCCCCCAGGTATCAGCTCATGACAGACAAGCTGTTAGGGAACACAAGAAGTAACTTTAAACTAATGATTTTAAGTATTCAACTACTACCTCATTTGTTCCACGTCCATCATTACCTGCCCCATGACATCCTCATCATAGGATAACGTCAGTCCTAGATCCCCTACATCTCCATCGTACCGCTGAAAAATCAAATATAAGATGTCCGTTTGATATTAGAAACCACACACAACAGTGTGAGCTTGAGTTGACTTGAAAACTTGGCAAATTGAAGTAAAAACAATAAGTGACAGTCCAAGTGTAATGTTTCTCTGACCTTGATGGACGTGAGGTTCTTGTAAAACTCAGAGTCCAGTGAAGGAAGCTCGTCGATGGAGCTGTAGAAAGTGCTGTGGTGGTGACCCAAGACTTGACTGAGGAAGAAGGAGGCAAACGGGACGTCCACAACGATGCCCTGAATACACAGAGGTAATGAAGATATAATTGTTGAAGATCATCTAAAATACTTCATTCAGAGTGAGAACAAGAAATGAGGCTTTTATTCATAAATTAAATGTACTTCGTAGACAGCTTTCCCAAGCATCTTCCCCACAAACTCAAACAGCTGCAAATGGTTCTCATGGATGTAAGAGGTGGGTGAAGGATACAGCCTTTCATTTCCACTGGTAGTCTACGGAAAAATAAACATCATATCATACAACACATATATAATCAAAGTCAGCAGCAGAGGTGTGGTGGTTTAGAAGTAGCACACTATTCTCCTTAATTACCTTGAAGAGGTTGAGAGCAGGATTGAACACTTTCTTAATGATCTCCTCTAGGAACTCTTTGAAGACACCATCCTGGTCGATACCAGCCTCGTCCACTCCCAGGTCATTAACAAACTTCACACGAATGACGCCTTTTATAGAATTCACTGGCAGCCGACGGAGCTGGTCATATCCATCCTGAGAATAGCAAAGTAAGCATTATTTTGGGATGGCCAATATAGTATAACACATTCAAACTCTGCTCTAAAAATCTATCTGATTTGTTTGTTACCTCCAACATCCGTGAGCGACGAATGGTAATATGGGTGACATGTGGTGAAGCAGAGCTTGTTTCTACCAATCCTAAATTTTCTTTTTCCTTTGTAACGATGTTCCTGAACAGCAGCACCCTCTAAAATGAAGAGGCAAAGCAATTATACAACTGAAAATGAAAATGACACTGCTTTAAATTAAAGGATCCTGTTTACTCACGTTTTTATGTGGAATGACGTGTGGGATGTACTGCAGTAAAAGCTGGGCTCTTTTCTTTCCTTTCTCCAGCTCTTGGAACAACAGACTGGGCTTCAGGTCCCTGAATGCAACACCACAATGACATAAAGGTAAGATTTCATCACAGAGCAGTCTTTCCTGAAACAGAAGGCTGGTGGGTTGTAGGACATCAACAGCTATTCTGTGTTTCAGTGTTTGTATTTACTTGCGTAGCCAGTGGTCATCAGGGGTGAACCTTCGCCTGCAGTCTCGCTCATAAAGCACCATGAGCCAACCATGAACACTGTGGAACAACTCCAGTTTCTCTCCCTTAGCATTTTCTATTAAACACAAAACAGTTTTTCAGTAAAGAAATAGCTACAATCATCATAACATTCGAGATTCAGTGAAGTCACACACTCACCTAAGATGCCATCCCATATCATCTTGTACACAAATGTGTTCAGAAATGAGGAGATAGTGATGAGTTCCTCTATCTTGAAAGATGTTTGTTCCTCATAGACTTCAATGTCATCCAGAATTCTGTAACATGTTTACAGTATGTCACAAAAATGTGCTGTTGAAATTGGGCATCTTATGCACAACACAGTAAAAAAAAAAAAAAAAAAAAAAAAAAAAAAAAGAATCAGTGAAATTACGTGATTAGGTGCCGTGAGCAGTCGCAGAAAAGCATAAGCATAGACAGGAGCTGCTTGGACTCTTCAGTGTCATTGTTCAGACACTCCATGAAGAGTTTAAGGCCTCCCTGAGGACCAAGCTCACAGATGAAGGCCCAAAGTTTGGGCAAAAGATCATCAAGATGTGTCAGACCTGCAAAAAAAAAACAGAGAATGTACAGTGACAATGAACTTTCCAGGGTGTTTCAAAATACTGTATAACATTTAAAACAAATGTAAGATTCTGGGACTGACCAGTGAGGATCTGGAGGCGTATTTGTGTCAGCGTAGACAGAGCTGTCTGGTAGAGCACACAGATGCTGCACACCTTCTGAACTTCAGCAGAGTCGACTCGTTTCCCCCCTACTGGTTTCAGGATGTTTCTCACAGAAGCCGACTTCTGAAATGCTCGCTTGAAGAGGTCTATCAACACACAGACACAACACACAGGGGATGCAAAGGACCTTCAAGAGACTTTCAACCTTTTTTTTTTTTTTAAAACCCAAAAGATTGTACTAATTTTAAAACATTACATTAGGTTTGGGTTTATAACTCACTTTTAACTGGTAGATTGTTTTGTGATGTGCTAGGCTGTGGAGGTGGGGGAGTGGGCTCCTGGCTCTCCAGCTTTTTAGAGAGGACGTCACTGAAGAGCGTTCGAATGACAGAAACACCCCACAGGTACTGAAGCTGCTTGGTGACCAGCGGCATTGACTCATTCAGGCTACGGAGAACAGAAGAGGCAGAGAGGAGACAAAGTCACGTATATCTGCCATTATTCTTTTAACAAAGGAAAAGTGAGCTGTTCCCCGGGAACCGTCAGGCAGCCTGATGAAGTTTATTAAGCCATCTTTGTAATATACATTCTTTTGAAGTGTTATATTTGTCCAATATATTAAGTTAAATGAGAGTCCAGCTTATTATTTAAATAAACAATATCTCTTTTACTGACCCGTAGTCCACTGTTTGTGAGAACCATCCCAGGACAGGATGCCAGTGGGTAAGGTTAGACTTCTTTTGGGATACATATCTCTGGCAGTAGGACAGCATGTCAGTCAGGTCCTTCACAAAATGACTGGCCTCCTCTTCAAGGACTTTCTCATTAAGGTAACCCAAGTGAATCAGGTTGCCTATCAAACATGGGAAAGACACAGTAACAAGGGTAAAGGGACACCCAATGATTCTCTCATCTGTACACAACTAGATCAGATCGGTGAAAGTGCAAGCCCATATTTATCCAAAATAATATACCAAGTAAGCAGAGTGTGTGGCTCCCCTCAAGACAGACACAGATGTCCGAACACTGTTCTTCCCGGCTGAGAAACAAGATGAACTTCCGCAGGAGGTCATGCGTCTGAATGGACGCCATACACTGTTAAGACAGAGCAGATGTTAAAACCTCCCTCTAATAGTTCAAATGATCATAAACGTTGATATGACATATGACAGGGCTTTTACCTCTGGAGTGAGCACATTGAGGTGGTATACAACAGCTGGAACGGACATGATGTGGATGAGGAATGATCTTAGCAGGTTATCGGAGAAGTGAGCAGCGATGACAGGCCTAAAAAATATTAGATGTAATTAAAAAAGCCAGCAAATAAAACCTTGAAAACACAAAGTAAACTGGATATACCATGTCTCCTGCACTTCATGTATTAAAACTGGAATATACAGAATTTTTTTTTTTGCTTTTATTTTGAAAATCAGTTACATATGGTGAAATCACTAGCTCCTGACTCACCTTAATGACAAAGTGAAAATAGCTGTTAGAGTGCCTTTGGACAGAGATGGTTTAGAACGAGCCAAGCCATTGGTCAGCAAGATCTAAATAAGAAAAATTAAAATGACATACAACATGAATTATTTATAAAATTACAGTTGGCACTGAGGAAGAAAATAGGTAACACAGGTACTTAATTGATTCTCTTGATAAAATTGAAAAAGCATGAGCTGTAATACTGAACCTGGAGTATTGAATAGAATCCCTTTTGATTGAGATGGCCCATGATATTTTCACAGATCCTCATCAATGCAGGTCTGAGAGCTTCTCCTAAAATAACGAGGGGAAAATTTCATGTTTTTCTTTGCCATGCCCCACAAAAACAAAAGATATGTTTAAAACAACAACCTCAGCTTCACGTGAGACATACCCTTCCCTCGGATTATCCGCCAGGTTGAAGTGTCCGTGAAGGTCACCAGCACAGTGAGGTACAGAGTTACCAATTTATTGTCCTGAAGTATGTCAGGCTGCAAATCACAAAACACAGAGTGATCCTATGTACCGTGTATATAATGAGATGAATGTCAAAACACATTTTCCACATCGAGACTAACCTTTAAATTTTTCAGTAGCTGACAGCAAGTCCACAGTACATCTTTTATCTGCTTGAGCCAGGGAATAGTGAGGTCTTTGGAGAGAGCCAAGGAGACATACCAGACCTGACAGCCAAATGTGAAAACAGTCACTGAGACAAAAATTACATACAAGTGTGATTAAAATGTGGAGGGTAAAATGTGAGCACACTCACTTTAGGCTCATTTTCAACCTCCATGCTGGCAAGAATAGCACGACAAAGCTTCTCGAACCTCTGTGTGATGTACAGAATTAGAGTCATTCAAGTCAAATAGCCCAGTACCAGAATCTAAGTTATGACTGTCATGTTTAAACAGTCTCCCCAAGCTAGAGTCTCCACAAAGGATGAGGAAAAACATTTTTATAAAATGAACTAACTTGTACTACTGCTAACCATTGTTATTATTAATGTCTTAACCAAATCAGCATAGCTAGTAACTCACCATCTTATCCTCTTGGCGATATATGAACAGTAATTTCCGAGCAATTCTGAAAATTGAAAGTGCATTTCTTTTTGACGTCCCAGTTTCAGAGGCATGAAAATAGTCATCAACCTCTTTCCTGGTGAGACACAAACAAAACATAGAGCCAACGATAATGCAAACATAAAACTGAGCTGTAATAGTCCCATTTCAACTTAATATTTCTTAAGTCACTCATGATCATCACAACAAACAGATCAAAATCAAAGATCTTCAAATCACAGGTGACTAGTATATCTGAAATGAAAAATAATGACACTACCTTATTTGCTTCTGGAGTCTGCAGCGACAGAGAAATCTCCTGACCAGAGCTTGGATGTTGATTGCTGCCTTCTCCTTGTCCTTCTGCCCCTTCCTCTCCTCCCTGGCCTGCCGGGCTTTGTCCAGGAACTCGGACTTGGAGCTCTGAGGCACACCGAACATTGTGCACCCTAGAAGAGAAGACTTTAAACAATTTGGCTGCTGTACAACAAAACTGTAAACTGATAATCCGCTTGTTTGTATTGATAACATTTTGACAGCGGCTTTAGAGCAATTGTCTGTGCTTTGTGGAGACTGTGCCTGGGATAAAACAGCATCCTAGCAACTGCACATCTTCACATTGTTTTGAGTAAACCAAATAGTAAACTTACCTGCGATATTCCTCAAATGAAGATCTTGTCTGGCCTTCAGGCTCACCTAACGCTATACCTCCTCAGTCATTTGGTTGTCCTTGAGATCGGAGCAGTAGGAAAGCCAACTGAAACATGAAGACTAACTTGCCATCGCTGGATAAACGGGGCGATACAGTAAAGATGGAGCTGGGTTAGTTAGCATACAGGGCTAGTTCGCCGCTTGTCGGCTTGATACTGCCTCGGGGAGAATCTTTTCACATTAATTTAGTGACATTTATCGTCGTTGCGATGTTAGGTTTGATCCTGTATCAATGACAGCCTCGAAAACACAGGGAACATACCGTTTCGAAATGTAAACAATGAGAGGAGATCCGTACATTGACTGCAGCCATTAATCCAAAGTGTCGCATTAAATGATTCCGGGTAGGGTCTGTCCTCCCGTATAAATCGTTAAATTAGACTGTTTCTCTTTAAAAGGTCTGGGATATGACAAGCTATTTTTGTTCGTGTTATAACTATAAAAAACTTTTGATTTCTGGTGATAGATAAAGCTTTAAATATGGGTGTTTGGCGAGAGGGACTGTTATCACTGTTACTCCTTCAACAGCGGAAATGGGCAGGCTAAGATTAACACAATTAAAGCAATTTTCTTTAACAAGTGAATTAAAAGTAGTAGGACAGAAAGTGGGCTGAAGTGAGGCGCTGCATTGTTTCCTATGTGTCATTTACTTCGTCTTGAACACTCCGTGACTCTCTGTAACCTTTAACAAAATTATGTGAACTGTCCCTTTAAACACAGCACGGGATAGTTGACGTCATTTTTATAACTGCGCAGCGTTGACCGGAAGGAAGTGGGTGTTAGCTGACTGACGTTAGCGAGCTACATTTACGAAGTCTGCTGCGGCTTCTATGGTAAATATACTTATGTCTTAACAAAAGCCAGATACAAACACACTACTAACATTAGGCGGAAAAATCTTTAATAGTCAGTGACATATAAGGTCTATTTTTTGGTAGATTTGTAATAATAAAGGTAAGTTTAGTTAATGCTGTCTAGCTAGCTAGCTCATTAGCCGTGCTGTCTACAATGAAATTACCACTGACTGGGCTGAGAGAGACAGTTCAGTGTTTTACTTTATATCTAGAAAAAAAGCCGCCAACAATTCTACAAATGCAGTAACGCTGTTTTTTTGTTTGTTTTTAAAAAAAAGGAAATTTACCTTATAGACAAAAGTGTGTAGCATTGTTTTTGAATTGTCTCTGCCCTGTTAGTCTTTCCATAGCCTTATCATGTCAAGCTGAGCAGAAACACTACTTCATCAAATTGTACTAAAAGTATGAAAGTTTAAAGTCCGTACTTTTCATCATAGCTGTTTTGTACAAGTGTGTTAGTTTATGCCACAAGAAAGCTGTTATATTAACAATTACATCCGCTATTATAACAGTCTGAGAGTTGAAAAGACTTGCTGATAAAATACATGAGTCACTACATATGTCATTTTGTTCCTTCATCACAAGGAATATGCACACACTAACTTATGCTGAGTCAATATACTTAAGCCTTTTTAAAAAATTAAACTCTGCATTTGTGGCCTTATTTTAAAAAGTAAGATGTTTAATAATAACAAATGGATTTGGGACAGACTGGTTAGGGAAGTTCAAATATACTGAGGGATGGGTCAAGGGATTTGGATATCTTCATTAACCCTTAAACAAACTAATCCAGTGAGATACTAGCCCTGATCCAGGTGTCATTTTATTCTTTATCTTGTTCTTTCACAGGAAGAGATGTCAGGAGAGAGTGTGGTGAGCTCGGCAGTGCCGGCAGCTACAACCCGGACTACATCCTTCAAGGGCTCCAGCCCCAGCTCTAAATATGTGAAGTTAAATGTAGGTGGGGCACTGTACTACACTACAATGCAGACTCTAACCAAACAGGATACAATGCTCAAAGCCATGTTCAGTGGCAGGATGGAGGTCCTCACAGACAGTGAAGGTGAGCTGTTAGTGAAAATGTTATAAGATAAGCAATAAGATGTGGGGTTTACATCATCTCTTTGCTCGTTGTAATCTATTACTAAGTAATGACTCACCATTTCATATTTATAGGTTGGATCTTGATTGACCGCTGTGGGAAACATTTTGGAACAATCCTCAACTATCTTAGAGATGGGGCAGTGCCACTCCCAGACAGCCGACGGGAAACCGAGGAACTGCTCGCTGAGGCCAAGTATTACCTTGTCCAAGGCCTAGCTGATGAATGTACAGCTGCCTTGCAGGTACCATCAATAGAGGGCTGTCAGTTAGGCGGGGAAATATATCAGTTTTTCATCTACCACCATGTCATCATTGTTAAATTAACTCCTCAGAACTATTACTAAATTTTCTACCACAGGCTAAAATACAGGTGTAAATCTGTTTTTTGTTCTTTTACATCATGATGGACATAAAATCTGTGCAAGAATAATTTTAAACCAATCATTTCTTGGTGACAGTTGGTAACTGAAACAATGAGCTGTAATCATTTATGGGTTGCATGTCCTTCATCATCTTTGTTACTCTGGTCCACCCGGTGGCTTCCTTCCTCTTATTTTATGTATTTTGCAGTTTGACATGTACAACTGTTATTTTTTAATGGAAAAACTTTTTTTTCCCTCCAGAACAAAGAAACTTATGAGCCCCTTTGTAAAGTGCCTCTGATGACATCGTCTAAGGAAGAGCAGAAGCTTATTGCAACATCTAATAAGGTATGTTACGATGTTTTCTACATAACATGCTGAATTTCTAGTGCTCAATATCAAGAAAAAACTGTCATTTAGATTTTCCTTTGTCTTCACAGCCTACTGTCAAACTGCTGTATAACAGAAGCAACAACAAATATTCATATACCAGGTGAGTTCTCTTCAACTAAAATTAGGGGCCAGCATATCTAATTCAAGAGGAAATATAATGTTGTGAAATCTTAATAAGTTATCTTAATAAATGACTGTCCTGTAACTCATCACCTTCCAGCAATTCTGATGACAACATGCTAAAAAATATTGAGCTGTTCGACAAGCTTTCATTGCGATTCAACGGTCGGGTCCTCTTCATCAAAGATGTGATTGGGGATGAGATCTGTTGTTGGTCATTTTATGGCCAGGGGCGTAAGATTGCCGAAGTGTGCTGCACCTCCATTGTTTATGCCACAGAAAAGAAGCAGACAAAGGTAAAAAAAAATGTTTTCATGTGCCTACTCTGAAGAGTTGGTTGCTTTCTTGTAAGCATACTATATGTTGTTTAAATATCTCTAATCTCTTGTACAACACCCTACTTCTCTCCTAGGTTGAGTTCCCTGAGGCACGCATCTATGAGGAGACCCTCAACATCCTCCTGTATGAGTCCCATGATGGGAGGGGTCCAGACAACGCCCTGCTGGAGGCCACAGGAGGCGCTGCAGGACGATCTAATCATCTGGATGAGGATGAGGAGCGAGAACGAATTGAACGAGTCCGTAGGATTCATATCAAACGACCTGATGACCGCACACACCACCACCAGTGACCTTCCTCCTTCGACCCGTCAGCCTGTGTCTCTGACCCTGGACAGTCTTTGCACCACGCTTGTGCCTTACAACACCCAGCGCCTCTCTGTCTCACTTCTACTCTTATTTTACCAGCTTTCTCTTGGAAACTACTACGAGATGAGTGTCATACAACAGTGTGTAGTGGTGAAGTGATTTTGTGCGTGTTTGTGTGTCCACTTGTCATCTTTCTTGTGTGGTCTCACAGGCTGTAATGTTTGTTAGTCATGATAACTCCTATCACTGTTTTCTGCTAGAGTGCAGAGGCCCATAGAAATGGATGTTTGCATTCAGCACTGCGGGTGACCACAGTTTCACCTGAGTGTGTGAAGAAAACGGAAATGATATTGTCAGTATACATTTGTTAATTGCGCTCGTAACTAGATTACATCCGGGAGAACAAGAATTATATAATGTACGCAGCTAAAAATTGATGCACATCATTTTTGCTTCTCCTTTCGAGATCCTGACGGGTCCACTGTAAGTTCACCAGTGGATGAACTAGGTGTTGTACACAATGGGGCCACATGGTGGCACTGTTTTACTCTTAGAAGATGTTACCATGGCTATTTCGTAGCCTGCAGATAAGAGCAATTAAATCTTTTTAAAAAATTTAATAATTTTTGATACAGTAAAGATATCACAGGTGGATGCAGCATTTCACTGTAGTGCTTCTGCTATATTTAGTGTTAACATTATGCATTTTCCCTTCACTTCACTAAATGATTATTATTTTCAGTGGAGGCAACTTGAGCTGTGACCTGAGGTGTTAAATGTACTGGGGTGATTGACTGATGGATGCTGAGGTTGAAGTGAATGACTGTAACCAGAGATCTCACAGGCAGGAAGGGAATCCTGTCTACAAGCTTTTAACAGGGAGAGAAATTAGACCTGTCCTTCACCACAGCATTCATCAGAGAATGTACCGTTTGCACACAATAGGTTTGAGTTGAAATATGTCTAACAATCGCAGTACTTGTAGGTCTGTTGTACAGAAGTGAACATATATGTATGTTTTATATTTATACCTACTTTATCACAAATAAATTTCTACAAACAGTCTTTTGTTGTGTTTAATTCTCATATTCACATCATTTGTGAACATATAAAATTATGACACATATGGCTTCATTGTTCAGATAATGTTGAGTGTTTTGTACATTAAAATAGTTTTGTAGATTTAAATTTGATAGATTTGATTTACAGTCCAGTGTCAGCCTTTGCTTTGAACGGTAGTGGTAAAAACAACAGAGACAAACCCTTAAACATAAAATGATGCTGAAACTATCTTTCATCACTATTTAACATTTTCTAATGGAAAGTTAATTTTAATTAACTGCAATGTATAAAAAAGGTGTTGCTGTCCAATAAACAGGCTCAACCATGGTTCCTAAATGCAGTTCTTTCTGCTCAGTTGTAGACATGTTGATCCTCTCTTTAGGGGTCTCCTGATAAAATATGCAGGGGCCTCTTGTGTGTCTCCTCAGCCCCACACGTTACCGTGTCCGGGCCCGAGTGGCAACCTGTTGGGACAAATAATTTGATTTAAAGCGGTATCTTTTCCTCCTTTAATTCAACCCCTTTTAAAATCTGCACAAAATAGTTTGAATATCTGGGATTCTGGATTACACATAGCCTAACTATAGACTATAAGACCTCGCCAATGGTAGCTTCCTGCCCATGATAGCTGGTCTGAAAACAGGACACAAAACGTTGTGACTTGCTGCCCTTTTCTCTGAGTGGAAAGATCAGTATCATCAAGATCAATGTATTACCTAAGCTCCTTTATCTGTTTTAAAATCTTCCTATGTTTCTCTAAAATCTCTCT